TGTCTTCTGGCTATTTAAAATAAATAAAAAAAAAATACCTGAAACTGGGTAATTTAAAAGAAGAGAAATTTGTTCAACTCACGGTTTGGAGGTCCTGAATCTGGGTAATTTAAAAGAAGATAAATTTGTTCAATTCACAGTTTGGAGGTCCAAGGGCCATGCCAGGAGAGCATCACATTATACGAGAACAAATGAGTATGTCCATGTCCCTCCATGTGTGTGCTCTGAGTTCATTCCCTTTCCTTATAAACTCACCAGGAATCAATCATAGGATCCCCACCCCAATCACTTAATTACTCCCAAAGGCCCTATCTGTCAACACCAGGAAAGAATTAAGGCTAGAAAATTGTTTTGGAGTATTCACGTGTGCCCAGTCTAATCACACAAGTCCTCATAAGTTGACAGCCTTCATGCATGCATGTGTATGTGCATGTGCACACATGAGCATGTGCGTGTGCGCAGAAAAAGAGGGAGGTTAAAAAAGAGCGAGAGAAACCCAAAATTGTTGGCCTTAAAAATGGAGGAAGAAGGCCCAGACCAAGTAATTACAGAGAGCTTCTAGAAGCCAGGAAGGGTATAGAAACAAATTCTAACTAGAGGCTTTAAAAAGAAACACAGACATCTTCGTTTTACCCCAGTGAGACCTGTTCACACTTTTGACCTACAGAACTATTCAATAATTTATGCCTGTGTTGTTTTAGCCACTAAATTTGTAGTAATGTGTTACAGCAGTTATGAAAAATGAATACAATTATATCCTTAGGGATGGAATTACTATGTATGTCATAGGGAGAAACCATTTGCTTTTATTGGAAACTGTCACAAAATCACCAGAATGGTTTCACCGATTTACCCTTCTACTAAGAAGGCAAGTGAGTTCCAGTTCCTCCACATTTGCTTAAACATATGGAATTTTCCTTTTTAACTTCAGCCCTTCTGATAAAAATCATATGGTGGTTTTATTTTGCATTTCTCTGGTAATTAATTGAGTTGAACACCTTTTCATATATTTCTGGGGCATATGGACATTCAATCTTGAGATGTGACTGCTGAGTCTTCTATCCATTTCAATGTCTTTGCTTTACCCATTTCTAAGAGATATTTAAATATATTGTGGACATCGGTTATATTTCAGACAGATCACTGTCAATATCTTCTCATCCTCTTCTAATCCGTTGTTTCCACCTCTTATTCTCTTACTGATGTCTTTTGAGGAAGACAAAAGAAAAGACTAATCTTTATATTTTTGTGGATTATTTAAGAACTCTTGACCTGGCCCAAAATTATAAGGATTTTCTTCTACACTTTCTTCTAAATCCTTATTGTTTGCTTTCTATATTTAGATCTGCAATCTATTGGATTGTTGGAAAAATCATGATGTATTTTTCTAAGCAAAAATCCAATGACCCAATACCTACAAGACAAAGTTTCAGATCTCTGATTATGAGCAAGAAAGGTTAAGTGAGGCATAGAGGCTTACACATCAGATATGAGGTGAGAAGAGAGTTTGAATCCTGGTCATCTGCCTCTCTTGTCTACACACACTGCTTTATCTGCTCACCTTGCAGCATCTTCTCTGTGGTTCCAAAACTAAATGAGTTCCTTTTATCCTTTAAACCCTGCAATCCTCAATACCACTTGTGAAATGAATTTTAGAATAATTGTAGACAGGGTACATATCTGCACATACTACTTTCCCTGTTGAATGGTCAGCCACCCATGATCAATAGCTGCCTCATTATTCTTCTTTATGTACCTTTTTTTTTTTTTTAAGAGAGCTTTTTGTTATATGGCACATGTGCTTACCATAGAGACAGAGACAGATAGGACAGAAAGCAAAAAATCACCTCCCCTCCCTCAAAGAGGATAGCCATGCCACAATCCCTTCTCCTCCATTCTCCTCTCAGGATTTTGGGCATGCACACATACGCAACCAGCATGAGTTTAAGCTTCCAGGTCTGGGACTTGAGTTATGGTCGATCATGTGGAAGTTTAGTGATGTAACCATTATGACATCTGCTGGTCCCAATTTCTCTACTTCATGTCTATATTTTTAATTACAACAATGGCTTTCTATATGATTCAAGACAGTCATAGAAGAAAGAAAAATATTATTGTAAATAATAGTTAACTGGCAGAAAAAGAAACTATCTGTGAGGACAAAAATTTTAAATAGAAAACAAGGTGTTTTTAAGTGACAGATAACAAGGAGAATATGTGCATTAACGTTTTATAGTTTTCTGTTCTCAGAAGGGTCATTCTTAGTTACTTGTACTGAAATTAAAAGGCATATCGAGTTAATGGAGCCTGATATCTTGAACTACATTTTATGTTGTCAGCATCTTTCATCTTCAATCCCTTTACAGACTCAGGCCGCCCTCAGAGAGCCATTGATGTTTGCTAAAACTACCTTCTTATGTATTCTTTCTCAGTGGTCCTGTTTCCTGCTCATGTAAAGATGTATTTTCCTTATTTCTGGTATTTTTTTTCCTTCTCCCTATATCACTGTTCTAACTTCATAGTTTTACACCATTCCGAAAGAACATTTATAACTGTGTTTTCCTAATGGGCTATTCGTGTCCATTGTCTTACTTCATTAACTTGTTAAAATCAACACGATAGCTATACAGCATGATTAATTCAATTTGCTGCTTAGACTCATTCAGTTCTCCTTGCATTCACACATGCTCAGTGTTTGGACAGAACCTAACCCAAGCTCTCTTCCCCTGGGGACGTGAGAAGAGCAAAGTACCAACTTTGTCACTTACCAGCTTATGTCCTCAGAGAAACAGGACTTAGCTCTGTTTCTTCATTTTTAAACAGATATGTATGTGTATGTGTGTGTGTAACAAAATATAGAATTATGCAAGGAAGACAAATAAGTTTATTAATACAAAGTGTTCGGTGTGATGTTTCCATGATAACATTAGGCCCTCTGTAAATGATAGTTCACTTCTCCCTTCTGGGGAAATGATGTCTAAAGACAAACTAAGGTTTCTGATTAACATGTGGAAATGTATAGGAGGCTAATAGAGAGCCAGTGAAAATTCTTGAGAAAAAGAGTAGTTTGATCAATTGAGGATAGCAAGACTACTCCAGTGACAATGGAGGATAAAGATGTCAAAAACTGATCTTTATAGTCTAAGCAGGTGCCAGAAATTGGTAAAGAAGGAGGATTCTTGGGGCAGTGTGATCTGGAGAATGCATGCCCTGCTTGTGTTATTATAACTCCAAATGATCAGTACTAATTCTTTCTTAGGGCTGTGGGGTAGCATGGTGGATAAGGAGCTGGACTCCCACATGATCGATCCTGGTTCAGGTCCCAGACCCAGAGGCTTGAAAAACACTGGACATGTGTGCCTGTGTGCCCAAAATCCCGAGAGGAGAAAGAAAGAAAAGGGATTGTGGTGTGGCCATCAGCCCTGGAAGGTCATTTCTCACTTTCTCTCTCTCTGTCTCTCACCAGTGAATTTCATGGAAAAATTAAAACACACATACACACACACACACACACACACACACACACACACACAAACTACCTCTTTCTTGATCCAAAGAATAAAGAGGGGAATTAGAAATGGCCTGGTGGTGGGGCACGTTCTCACCCTTTGGGTAGAGGATCTATTAGATGCCATAAGTTAAAGGCAGATAGTGAGGTTAAGCTTTTATCGTAGTCCTTCCAATAAGAAATCACAAAATTCTAAATAGAACAGCTGCTGTAGAAATAAAGGGTCAAATCCCTGCAGGGACAAAGGGACATATAGCTGAACAGATTCACTGCTTTAAAATTCAAATATCATAGAAAGAATTTCTTTGTAAATGTTTGCAAAGTCTTAACTACTAAAGTTCTTTACATAAAAGAACTTATCCAAAATGAATCTTGCATCTACATCCTGTTTTGCAAGTATTAGCTGTACTTAGATAACCATAAATGTGTATATATGTTTTCAAAAACATATTTAAATATATATGTATATATATTTAGTGAACATGCATTGTATATATAAGTTATATATGTTATAAATTATAGAAAATCAATTGCTTTTAATTTCATCATGTGTTTTTACAGTGAATATTGTTTTTCAGCTTTTGCAGTGGTCATGGGCAGTACTGGCCTACTAATTTCTCCAAAGAACAAGGCAGATGCATGAATGGATTTTCATGGAGGGTTGGATAATGGTATAATTATGAACGGATTGCTGTTGACTCACAAAACCAAATTTACTGTTGGCCCAAGGGGTGAAATTCAGGTCGTGGTCACATAAGGTCATTAAAGAGCTGATTTCACATGCTGAGAAAAGCTCTATTTCTTTGGCTTAAATCCAATTCAGTTCATGGTTGTATTTTCTGAAATTATTCCTGGCCTTTTTAAGTTACTACCATACACCCAGCACCAACTTTGTACAATTCACATCACGTATATTATTTATAATCCTGATAACATTGCTCAAGATAATTATCACAATGCATTTCATAACAGATGGGGAAATAGCACACAGACATTAAGCAACATGACTACATTCATAGTTTGTGCTGAATGCATGGTTTAAAACCGACTCTTAAGAAACAAATTAATTAATTAAAAAAAAAAAACTCTGCTCTCTTTTTTGTCAGAAGTAAGATCTTTCACTGTATCACAAGTTCTATCATTCATAAACCTTTCTGTAATACTAACACCATAGTTTTCCACTGTAGTTGTAAATACCAAAAAAAACAAACAAAAAAAAAAAACCATGGGGAGTAGTGAAAAATTGAGATTTCTGCTGTATTTATAAAAGGTTATTAAAATAAAAATTCACTATATAATAAAAGCACATTAGAGTATCAGTACTCTATGAACCAGAAAGTTCACATACTGGGATAGATCTAAGAAAACAATCAACGATGAAAGTTTTTGTTAATTTAGCATTATCTACAACTCCAAAAACTAGAAAACAACTTATGCATCTAAAAATTAACTTCATTGTCCCATAACACAACTGTAAATTATGTTATTCCAGGGCCCAGAAGCTCAACAATCGTGCCACATGCACATGCATGTGTACCTAAATCCCGAGAGAAGAAGGGATCACAGCATGGCTGCAGGTGGGATGATCACTCTTTTCCTCTCTCTCTCTTTATCCCTCTCCAGCAAGTACACACATCCTATGACCACACCAAAATGAAAAGAAAAAATAATATTCCAAGTACTAAAAAGAATAACAATTATTATACCAGGAAATGGTTATATCTATAGAAATGTTAAGTAAAAAGATATACGAGATAAAACCTTCTATGTAAGATGATAAATTTTTTATACAGTATATCTAATCACATGTCTGTCTGTATATCTATCTGTCTATCCATCCATCCATCTGTTATAATTGCAAATATTAATAGTGATTGCCCAGGATGAAATACTTTTTATTAGATTCTTGATTATTGTTTTAGTTTTATGCCATAAACTTATGTTGTTTTTAACTTTAAAAAAAAATCCACATTACTCTTGTTTTTCTTTTTCTTCAGGTTTCTGCCATTATGTGCAAGTGCTCACTGGAGAAAAACATCTTTTGAGAAAGAAAGGGAGAGAGAGAGAGAGAGAGAGAAGGAAAATGAGACATTGCTTCCTGGGGGTATGGCCATGCCACAATGCCTTTTTCTCCATTCTCCTTTTGGGATTTTGGCATGTATACACATGCCTGTCCTGATTTTCAAGCCACCAGGTGTGGGGTTTGAACTGCGGTCAGCCATATGGGAGTCCAGCACCTTAACCACCATGCCATCTGCTGTTCCCCATGCTACTTTTTAAATAATGGTTTTTGCTTGTAGTATGTCAAATAGGTTTTATTTTCATAGTTTTAGGTTTTTAGAACCAAGACCTAACTCAGATTTAGTCAAACTGGAAAACCTTTCTCCTAACTTAGGCAGGAGAATAAGAAGAATGCAGAATTAGGGATGAAGCTGAAAGGTAGTTGAAAGGGAAGAAACAGTAAGTAGTTGGTAGGAATCTTTTTGCCCTTAATAGTTCTTCTTAGAGGACCATGGAGTAAGGAACTGTTTTTAGATATATTTAATCTATAACTAAGTAGATTTATGTGTACTGTGTTAGCTCTATAAAAAACAATGAATGAATCCTATGTATTTTAACTTCACTGAGAATTGTGGCCATCAAGTAAATTGTAATTACAATTTAAAGATTTGAAAAATCCTAGCGTCCATTGTCTTGCTGGCCAGAGCTACTGGTTGTAACAGCGATCTAGAATTTGAAGGGTTTACTCCATGTGTACATATGAAATGTTGATCATCTTAATCAGTGTGCAACATAGAAAGGTATTTTAATTTGATTGCAATTATAAAAACAAAAAGGGATCTAAAATATCCTTAGTAGTAACCTTGTTTTCTTTAGAGAGAGAGAGATTTTTTTTTGCTATAGGAGGCGTGCTGCAGGGAAATAGACAGAAAGCAAGAAATCATAGCCCAGGGGCAATGGCCATGCCACAGTCCCGTCTCCTCCATTCTCCTCCTGGGATCTTGGGCACACATGCACATGTGTCTGGCGTGAGTTTCCAGTTCTGGGATGGGGGCCACAGTCAGCCATGTGGGAGAATGGTGATGTAACCATTACACCATCTGCTGGTCTCAGTAAGAACCCTTTTAATATTTAAGTAAATAAAATTCCTGCCATGAGATAAAGAAGAACATACCTTATGCTTTATTACATACTATGAAAACTGTGGAAAATATCCTAGTGAGGTGCTGGAATTGTGCTACAGAAAATGATAGGTTCAAGTGTGTGCTAGAGCAGCTCGTATTTTCTACAAGTCAAATGATACACTTTCAGAAATGTAACATGACCAATAAACAACGCTAAACAACGATAAGCAGTTGATAAACAATCAAGTCAATTCTGTTAAAACAAATTTACAAGTACTCAAAACTCATTACTTCTTAATTACTTTACATTTTACTCTTATATATGCCCTTGAAATTATTCTTGTCAGTTGTATCTCCGTTGTGGGAATACTACATGATCGTATGATATCACAAATCTCTATCCAAGTCTGTCTTCAGTAATGTTGCATGGATAGCTTGAAATATAGCAGGCCAACAGTGAAAGTATTGGGTTGTCAGAAAAATCATGCTGTATTTTTTCTATGTAAAAATGTATCATAACTTTTCTGACAGCCCAATATTTATAACACAGAAATATTAGGCAAATGTGAAAACAAGACATCCATTCCCATCCTTTCCCTGGAAATCTGATGGTGTTTACCAGCACACCACTGGACATATTGTTTATTCATGACTTCTTCCTTTTTTCATTTTTAATATATCCAAAAATCAATAGGCAGTATTTGAATATCATTCATTTTTTCTGCAGCATACATCATGGGAAAATAAAATAAATCACAAGCTATGATTTATGTATCATTTTGCCAAAGGACATATGAGTTCACCAGAGAGAGACAGGGCAAGCGAGAGAGGTAATGTGAGAAAGCATGCCCTCTCCCCAGAGATGGTCACACCACAATCCCTTCTCTAGTTCTCCTTTCAAGGGTTTTGGCAGGCATGCACATGCACCCACCATACTTTTCAAGCTGCTGGGTCCAGGACTCAAACTATGTGGTCAGTCGTGTGGACTCCAGCTGTTCTAATCAATACTCTTCCAGCTGGCCCTATTTTAATTGATTGATTCTTGATAATACATTTAGTGCCATCCAGCAACAGTAATGCCATAAAGATAAATACAGCCATTGCCTTTGTTGTGAGGTGAGGAACACTCGATAGTTAAATATTCAAATATGCATAGCTTTGAGGTTGACGATACTGCATAGCTATATAATACGGCTTAATGTTTAAAATGTCTATATTAACTGTTTCTTCCATTTGATTCTCCCAAATCTGGAAAGTAAACAGGTTAATACTGTGCCCACTTATCAGGTGCCAAATCCACGGTTTGCCCAAGGTCATAAAGCTAAGACACTCAGAGAGAGTAAAATCCAACAGCCAGCTGCTTTATCTCTGAGTCCTGGGCTATCTGTGTTTTCCCCTACAGTTAAGAAAAGGAAAAAAAAAAAAAAAAAAAGCTTATGAATCCTATCTCTGAGTCTCAGTGAAACTATCTAGTGATACTGAGATTTTTCAAGAAAACCTCAAATGTCTATTATGGACATTTTAAAATTATGAGTCTATTTTATGAAGTATAATCATACAGTGATTCTCTACCTCAAGATTCTCATTCAACCCGTGAAGCGATATAATATTGCACTCGAGGTGTCAGCCAGACAGGTGGATTGACAGAAGACTCTCACGCTCCTTCCCCTGAAAGAGTGCTTCCAGTGCCGGGGATACTGAGGAGCACAGACAGTCCCCTGCGGGGAATGAAAGGCTACAAAATGAAATGGATCTGCTCCATGAGACTGGATGCACCTAACAGGGTGGAGGATGATATGGGCTATAAGGGTACGATAAGGATGGCAGGACCAAATATGGCTTGAAAAACCAAAAACCTCTGTCAGACTGATGATCTGAAGTCAGACAAGGATTATAAATCACTTAAAGAAACTGGATCAATATGATTTTATTTTAAAGACTGTCCAGTAGATTTCTATGGGAAATGGTATATTCTAGAGGCACATGTGCTAAGTTAGTCCCATATCAAACCTACCCAATTAAATCCCAGATTATTTGGTCTGAACTGATACATGTGACCATAGGGCAAAGGCAGCAAATGGGGAATTCATAATAAAGGGGAGGAAAGTAGATGCTGTTCTTAGCCCTCATCTTTCTTTTAAAAATATACTTAATTATTAGTTATTTTTATTATTTTAATTTGCTATAAGGTACACCTGCTCATCAGAGAGACAGAGAGAGAGAGAGAGAGAGAAAGTGAGAAAGCAAGTCACTAGGTCCAGGACTCAAACTGCAGTCAGCCATGTGGAAGTTTGGCTCTTTAACCAACATGCTACCTGCTGCCCTAACCTTTATCTCTTTACATGATCATTATTTCAAACATTCACTATAAAATATAACATAGTGTCAAATAGGCTCTGAAGATTATTGGGCATATGTAGCAAATATGTGGAAATGAAGGTCACACTGGGAAATCAAAATATTTTCCCAGCTTGAAAGGAGACTCATGACATTAAGTCTACGAGCAAAGATGAGATTTCTCCGCGGACTCTTCAACAGTCGTCTCTGTTAGTTACAACACTTGATAAGGAATTGCATTTGGCTGGGAAGAAGTGATGGACATATGAAAAGAAACAAGAATAAGATGCTCTGGGGAAATTATTCTAGTTTACTTGATCCTATTTCAAGTGCCTCTTTTAGCCTTATATTACTAACCTTTTCCCCTACAGCCACAAAATTCTCTTTCACAGCCAAAGGAGTATATGTGTCACACTGAAAATTATGCCAGGAGTTGACCAGTTTTGTTTTAAGAGATATTTTTGCTATAGGGCATGTGCACTTGCTGGAGAGACAGAAAGGGATAAATCCCGCCCCCCTCTCCCAGGGGGGATGGCCATGCCCCAATCCCTTCTCCTCCACTGTCCTCTCAGAATGTGGGCATGCGCCTGGCGTGAGTTTAAGTTGCCAGGTCTGGGATTCCAACTGTGGTTGACTACATGAGAGTCCAGCGACATAACCATTACACCATCTGATGGTTCCTGAACCAGTATTACAGTGGCTAGCATGCAGAATATCTCAGGGATATGTGAGCAGAATGACATTTGGGTGACTTCATAGGCAGAGAGGTGGTGAGCCTGCAAGAGCCTGGGGTAAGGCATGGACTTTGGAATCTGTCCACGGCTCAACCTTGTCCATGAGTCTGTTTATTCAGACCTGTTTCCTCTTCCTTAAAAAGGCGACTCGTGAAAATACCTATTTCATTGGCATTTTATGAGGATTAAATGAATTAATATTTATAAAAACCCATAACTCCAGAAGAATATAGTAATGCCATACAAATTAAATATATTAAAAGAAAAACAGGACCAGCAGGTAACATAGTGGTTAAGACACATGATCAGCCATGGTTTGAGTCCCAGACCTGGCAGGTTGCTTTCTCACTCCCCCTACCTCATTCTCTCTGT